ATATATATATATATATATATATATATATATATATATATTCATAAAAAGATAGATAGATAGATAGATAGATAGATAGATAGATAGATAGATAGATAGATAGATAGATAGATAGATAGATAGATAGATAGATAGATAGATAGATAGATAGATAGATAGATAGTATAATATAATGACTATAATTTTATAGGTTACAGTATATGTATATAGATTATTAAAGATGTTTATAGTTTTCCTTTAAAAATAGAATTTTATGAAATTACTTGAGTCAGATTCTGCTTAACTTCCATTTCTATATGTTTGTTGATACAGTTCAACAAAGTTTTTCAGGGAAAAAGAAGTTTTGATTCTTTAACCTGTAAAAATAATCAGGTAGAAGGAGACAAAATAAGTGCATTTCCCTTAAACAAGAAAAAACTAGTCACAAGACACAGAAAGCCCAAACTGCATCATTAAAAGTGGAGTGGAAATTTAATATTCCAGAGTAAAAGTCTAATAAATTCATTTATATTTACCTGAGCTGTTTCTTTTATCAGGATTATTTGCTGGCTGATAAAAGGAATGTTAAAGTTTCAACGTGAGAAACTGAGTTTCTGCTTATCTGCGTTTCTCTCATGCTTATCTCACATAACCGCTTTGATAAGCTTCACTCTTTATCACAAAAATAAGTCATGCTTCTAGAAAACAAAAACAGGAATGAGAAGTGCTTCTCATAAGGACAGCTGCTTAATAGTTTCAGATTGGAATTAAATGGGGTGGCACGGTGGCGCGGTTGGTAGAGCTGCCGCCTCTCAGCGAGAAGGTTGCTCCGGTTCAAATCCCAGCTGGGGGGCCCTTCTGTGTGGAGTTTGCATGTTCTCTTTTTGCATGTGTGGGTTTTTTCCGGGTACTCCGGTTTCCTCCCACAGACCAAAACATGCATGTTAGGCTGATTGGTAACTCTAAATTGTCTCTATGTGTCCCTGTGATGGACTAGAGACATGGGCACCAGTGACCCCTGCAACCTGAAAAGTAAGAAGCAGGCAAATACAATGGAAGGATGGATGGACTACTATATCACATCCCACCAGCATGATCACAGATATAACTTTGATAAAAATGTAAACGAGCAACCATTTAAATCTAAATGTGAAGGGAAAACAAAACCCTGAATGTTGGCACATCTAACCCACAAACACGGCATCGTTCATCAACTGCTACGTGCCGATTCTGAACACCAATTAGGTGCTGATTTGCTGAATGCTCTTCCCTCAATGTTCTGTGGTTGTCCTGCCAAATCCTCCCTGTCCTCATCGTGGAGTGAGATTCAATGAGAATCCCTACAAAGAAACACAGTTTAATAAAACCTAATAAATCTACTGAAGTGTTTTGCTTGTTAATTTTATTGTTTCTTTGATTTGCTGTGCAACACTTCAGTGCATTCTTTGTTATATATGTTCATCACAGCTAATCGATATTATCAAAAACAAAACAAGCTACAACTCAGATCATTTTACAAACACAGAGCTAAAATATGACATAGTCACCTTAACAGTTATATTCAACAAATACTTAGTAATAGTGAGCTATTAGAAATTCAATTCACTTCATTTTATTTATATAGCACCAAGTCACAACAGAAGTCATCTCAGGGCACTGAACAGAAACATTCATTTATAAAAATAATACATCTGAGGAGCAGACTGCTTTGAGTTTAACTACAAACCCAGAACTCTCATCTTGAGCAAGCATGAAGGTGACAGTGGAAAGGAAAAGCTTCCTTGTGAGGAAGAAACCTTTAGCTGAATCAGGCTCAGGACAAGTGGACGTCTGCTTCGACCGGCACGGTTGGATAGGAACAGATACACAATGGCAGGTCAAGAATCACATTAAGACAGAAATAGTATCAAATGAAAACACATTTAGTAACAAGCTCAGATTTACTAAAAATCACCTTTATTTGGGCTTTCTTTCAACGACACACAAGAAGACTGAACACTCTCGTGTCATTTGTGACTACACCCTCGGTCCCTGGTGGGAGACTTAGTCCCC